AATTAACATTGGCCTACCGCTTGTACTAATAAAGTGCCAAGGGCCTAAGTGGTCACCTTAATATTAAAAAAAAAAAATTTATTTTTCCTAGATTATTACTTTTTACTAGAACAACTAGGACGAATATATAATAAATATAAAAGAACAAGATAAAAAGGATTTTAAATCTTTCTCCTATATTGAATCCATCTCAGTTAACATTTTTTTTACTAGAACGAAACTAGAACAGATTTTTTATTAGGACGCGAGCAGATTTATTTTAACCACATTCTGAGATAGCAAATATGAGCGATTATATTTTGATAACATTTTCGATAGCATAACCAGATAGCATATATATAGCATGACCGGATAACGTATATATAGTGTGTATATAATGATTTAGATAGCATATACTCTGACTAGAAATGACAACATAATCGCATCCTAATTATCAAACCTGTGATGAGGCCAACTCAGTTGCATAATCTGCCTCAGATATTTTATTGCAATAGAAATCAGTTGGAAATGATAAGCCAGTATATGATATCAAATGACACATAAAATGCATTCGGCCCATTAAACTCGCGATAAATTCAGTTATTTCTTTACAATCAAAATAGATCAGAAACACTAAGTCGATATACGAAATTTTATATGAGTGATTAAAACACTATTTATATTGAATTTGACTTTCTAAAAAGATATACAAGCCATATACCTATTTATGTGTCATAAAATATATATTACAACACTGATGATGGTGTCATATTTCTATCGTCAAAAATGTGTTATAAAATATATATCACGACACTGACGACTGTGTTGCATTTCTATTGTCAAAAATGTGTTATAAAATATATATCATGACACTGACGACGGTGTCGCATTTCTATCGTCATGACACTGACAACGGTGTCGCATTTCTATCGTCATGACACTGACAATGGTGTCGCATTTCTGTCGTCATGACACTGACAACGGTGTCGCATTTCTGTTGTCACTCAAATAATGATGCAAGCGTGAATCGTTCGCCACTCGAATGATGGAGTGAATACTAATATATCTCTGATGACGCAAGTGCGAATCATTCGTTACTCGAATGATGGAGTGAATACTAATATATCTCTGACAACGCAAGTGTGAATCATTCATCACTCGAATGATGGAGCAAATACTAATATATCTCTGATGACACAAGTGTGAATTGTTCGTCACTCGAATGATGACGTAAATGCAAAATGCTCATCATACCTGAGACTATAATAGTCTAATCTAAGTCATTTTATGTTTATATAAACACAAAATGACTTAATGATATATTTACTAATTATGAAAATAGTAGTAATAATAATATCACTATTTCTAATTATAAAGAAAAGCCGATTTTAACAACTAATTATCAAGAAACAATATCTTTTGATGATGATAATATATCTACTGCTTCAAATTATGAAGAAGAATTAATTCCATATGAAATATTTAATAGTAATTCTCATAATAGCAAAGATGAAGATCAAGAGTATATATCAAAATTTATGATAAAGTTATGTATAAAAGAACAAAATGGAATTGCTTTTTCAGCTAAACGATTATCATTTAATACTCAATTATGTATGGAATTTCACGAAGAAATGCAGTTGCAAATTCAAAGTTTAACAAATAACTTTAAATTAGATCAAAAGGATTATATTTTAGTATATAAAGTTACACAAGAAACAGGCATTGGAACTCAAATTACTAATAAAGATGATTTTGTTATATTTACTAAAGAATAAGCATGCAATTACAAAACAAAAAGAAGTTTTTATTATAGCAACTATGCTATCAAATATATCAACTACTTCTAATAAGCGTAAAAGCAAAAAATCTAAGGTATTATATTTAAAATTAATTCATAATTTATTTTGATAATTTTATAATTTAAATTTATATTTGTAGAAATTTAATAATAATAACGATGATGATGAAGATTTTGAATTAACTAAAAAGTGAGTAAAGGTTAACAAAATTTCAAATGAAACTAGTCTTGATCAATCTAAACGTGATCTAGCAACAATTATTTCAATTTTACATGAAGAAAGATTTTGTAATCAATGTGGAACACCTTGTTGGCCTACTGATCAAGGTCATATTAAATTAACAGGCGCTCATTATACAGTTTGGGCTCGTAGTATAGTAAGTTTTAATAATTATTATATATAAATTTTAAATATATATAATAAAACTAAATTCTAATTATTTTAGATTAATAGTTTTAATGATACAACATCTCCACCTAATCATTCAATATTTCAAGCGCCACCAAAGCCAAGAGGAATAAAAACTAATAATGCTAGCTTGGAATTTACTTCTCCACCATATTTTATACCAATGCCACAATTTATATATTCTTCAGCATCACAAACTTCTTTTTCGCCATATCAATCATTTTCTCCAATATCACAATTTTCTACTTCACAGTATTAGCTACCAAATACACAATATACAGATCAGCTATCAAATACACAGTATTCAGGTCCTATTCCTACGCTTGAAGAATTTTTGCAAAAAATAGATGATGAAGAAAATGCTGATAAAGAAATTATTAAATGCTTAGATGCATTTAATCAACAAGCAATTAAAATAACCTGGATTCAAAATTTAACAGAAAGTCAATTTGATCGATTAGGAATTAAAAAAATAGGATGGCAAATAGCTTTGCGTGAAGCTTCTCAACGTTATAGATAAATAATTTATATAGCTAACAAAGTATAATTTACTAGTAAGTAAAATAATATATACAATTCTTAGTATATAATTAGATATTTCTATATTTGTATGCTATATATGCAATTTATGCTTGAATAACTATTTTATTAATTGCGCAGATTTTATTTTATATTAGTATAAATTTTTTACTTTATTAACTATAAACTTGTTATTAGCTATACGCGAAACTTAATATAAAAATTTAGATTAATAATTTAGCTATACAAATAAAAAAATCTTTATTTATTTATAAATATATAGAACTACAACAAAAAAATTGTTCAGCAATATCAGAAGTAATTGAAGAACAAGCTATTAAGATTGGATAAATTGGATCTAAACATATTTCTACAAATTCTCTATTTCGTTTAAGATAATTTTTAACAAAAAAAAACACTATCTCAATAGGATTATAATCCGGAGAGTAAGGAGGAAGAAATAAAACTTTAGCACCTATAGCATGAATAATATTAATCAATAAATCGCTATGATGAATCACAGCATTATCCAAAACCAAGACACTATTTGGATTTGGGTATGAATTTATTTGAGGAACCTTAATGAAATTTTATTTAGAAAGTCAATTTTATTAAAAATATATCTAATGTATAAATCAGATAACTTACTACTTCTGCAATTACAAAATCTTCAAATTGAGCTTTGGTACAACTTCCTTCGATTACATCAATTGCAATAGTTCCATCTAAGGTCAACGCAGGTAATATTGTATAACGTTTTCCTCTAATAAAAACTACTTTCTTACAAGCTCGCTTATTAGCTAAAGAATATCCATAAAGTCTTGATGATGTTCGCTTATCTACCATAGACTCATCCATAAAAATAAACTGCTCAGGTCTATAATTATCACCGATATCTGCAATAAATGCAGATCTAACCAATTCATTACATTCACATGCTGCCTTATTAAGCTAATAAAAAATAAATAGATAAATATCTATAAAAAAATAAAAATAAAATATTCAAGAATTTTATATACTTTTTTTCGTGTAATACCACAACGATATAAAGAGCGCCATATAGTAGATACTGACACTAACTTTCCAGTTCTTATAGCTATTTCATCTCGAAGCTCGTCTATATACCAATCAATCTTTTCTTGAATTAAAGTTTTCAATATCTAATACAATTAAACTTAAATTATAAATGCTAACAACATTTAACTAAAATACGGTATAAAGCTTTACAATTACCTCCATATCATTATTATTAAGCAATCTAGGTCGACCACGGCAACCAACAAATGGACTAATAATATCTCCCCACTTATTATATATACGTATAATTTTTTTTACCATGGTTTTACTAATATATAATAGTTCGGATATTTTTTTTTTGTTGTACCCGTCATGGTAAAGATAAATAATTCTCCACTTCAAGTCTTCACTAAGTGGATGAGGCATATTTGAAAAGTTATGAGAACGATCAATCTAACAATCACAATTATAATCGTAATCACTATCACAATCACAATCATTTTACAAAAAAAATTAGTAACAAAATTATGCAAACCGCAATAATAGCTGCTAGATATGTAAGTATCGAGGCAGCTTTTGTCTCTATCTAATCAAACATGTGATAGCCCAGTTACAATCACATGATCAATCGATCATTCATTCGTTTGTATGTACGTACGTATGTACGTACGAGGTAATCGGGTGATATAAGTATGAGCTTTGTAATTAGTATCGTTATTACAAGCAATTGATTAAGTGTGTGGTAATTGAGTAAGTATGAAGTAATGGTGATTGCTTTGTAGTATATTAGTGAGTAAGTAATATTGATCAGAATTAATTTTGTCTTTTCTGCGAACCTGACTTTCGTTCTGGTTATATCGACCCACCCACCCTATCCCAAGGATAGTCAGTTTTGTAGGGTCTGGCCGGCCGGAGCGGCTGCCATGCTAAGGGAAGTGTCATTTATCATCTGATTTTTTGTAAATAGTAAAATTTCCCCCTCCCTCAAATGATTACGATTATATATAAAAATATACATGTGATCTATTAGCTTGATATTTTGGCACCCACTCCCCTGCTAAAAAAATCAGATTATAAATGAAACTTCCCTAAGGAGTTGAGTTTTTTGAAAGTCATTAGATCCCAATTTTGAAATTGTGACCTGTTGAGACGACAGTCACACAGTTTAGTTTGGCCTGTCGGGACTTCTTGTTTGAATAACGATAAGTAATGTAATTGTGACCTGTTGGGACGACAGTCACACAATTAAGTTTTGGCCTGTCGGCCAATGGCTAAAAATCACATGATTAATTGTAAATATTTTTAAAGTAGACTAGTGATGGCAGAAAAATGTCGAGATCACGCGATCAATATGTGAGGCTAGTTCGGAGTGGGCATCAAAATATGTAATACAATAATTACAACTCAACTTTAGCACTCGAAATATGTTAAGGGAAGAAATAAAATTCTATCGGACTTTTTGAGAGGTCGAAAATGAGCATCAATCATGTGATCTCGACATTTTTCTGCCACCACTAGTCCACTTTATCTTTAAAAGAGAAAGGGAAAAGGAGTCAATTCGATTCTCAGAAAAGTCTGCGTAGTTGCTCGATAGTGGAAAGGGCAATACCCGTTTATGTTCTTCATAGTAGTATCCTGAAAATGAGAGACAAAGCAATATTATGAATCTGAGATTGTATCAAGCTCAGATTTATGATAAATTGTCCGGGTTTAGCAATCGCGATCGTAATCACAATCATTTAATCATAAAAAAAAATTAGTCATAGAGGCAACAAATATAATATACTAGTTGGCGTTAGCATATTTCAAAAAAAAAGGCAACACTTTGTACGTATCCATCTCCGAATTAAGGATTCAAATTTGATGATCACCATAAATAGATATTTTTTAAGATCAAATGTTTAAAATTGGGTTCTTTCCCTTAGATCAATTTGCAAAATGTCGAATTTTAAAGTAATTCGTACTATTGAAACAAAATTTGGAATTAGTGTTATTAAATGTAAATCTAATAGAACTGGTTTATCAGCTGTTCTTGTCGATGTTGAAGGTTTGAAATTTATTAATTGTATTGCTCTTATTAATGGAAGATTTCAGTTTATAATTTCATAATATCGATACTTTAGCTCCGATGGTTAGTGGATTTTTTGCAATCCCGACTGAAGGTTCGTGTAATTCATTTATTAAAGATACATTTTGATTTAATTATCAGTAAGATTGTCTTATTTGTATCTACAAATTCAAGCCACGGATGATGACGGATGTCCTCACACTTTGGAGCAGTAAGTTTTATACAGTATAACACAGATTTTGAAACTTTGATTCAATGTCTTTTAATTTTGGGATATAGTTTAGTCTTCCTTGGTAGCGAATTGTATCCATACAAGGTAGAATGTTTCGTGTTTCTCATTATTCTCAACTTTACATATATTAATTTATGTGCATAAATTATTTAGGGTGTATTAGACACTTTAGCAAATCGCGCATTTGCTCAAGGAACCAATGCGTAAATTTTTTAATTGATATTTTTTTTTTGTAATCACTATTATGCTTGTATGACACTTTATATTTTTTCTATTGATTTTTAGTTGGACAGAGACAGATCATACATGCTACACTATTACGACAGCCGGTAGTGAAGGATTCTTGAGATTATTACCTATTTATGTGGATCATATTCTATATCCTACTTTGACAGAAAGTGGTCACTATACCGAGGTTTATTATTATGATTTTTTTTTTTTTTATGTGATAAAATTTATAATTTTCGAATATTCACAATAATTTGTGAATTTTGTGCATATTTAGGTTCATCACATAAATGGGAATGGTGAAGATGCTGGTCTGTATTACTTTTAGACGCACTCCTATATCTTCCTATATTCTATTGGTGCCTATGATTTAATTTCGTTTTTTCTTTTTAGGGGTAAAATCTATTTATTTATAAATTATTCAATTCCGAACCTTAGAAAAACATCAAAATACTCAAAGTTGTTATGGAGAACTTCAGATAAAATAAAATATATAAATTACTCCAATGTCACTACAGGGCGTGTTATATATTTTATTCTGATCTGGCTCCAAATATTACCTACCTCCATACTCTCTAAATCAAAACTTTAATCTGATTATTCTATTTATTTTTATTTTATTTTAATTTGTTAAGGTGGTGTACAGTGAGATGCAGGTAATTACAATCCAGATTTCATACTATGTCGGTATTTATATTAAAATATTAACAATTATTACAATTATTGTAATAGGGCCGCCAAAACAACTGTGACTCTCGTGTTACATTACGGTAATCTTAATTGCCATCTCATGTTTTCTAGTACGTTTTATATATCTATTTCTCATTAATAATTACATGTAGATATCAACGACTAATGTATCCGGAGGGTTGTGGGTATCGTAGCGAAACTGGTGGCTTAATGGAATGCCTTAGACAACTTGGCGTTGAGAAAAGTATGATTTATTAAGCACTCTTCTAGATTGATTGAATTAACATATTAATAATTTTCTAATGAGCAAATCTCATCAATATACTGTAATTTAACTAACTATAGTTCGTCATGTAAGTTTCTAATTTTCATTACTACTTACGATATAAATACTAATATACAGCTTCTATGATTATTAGTATCATCATGATTATTATAGACCTGATAACCTATGTCTAATTATCACTGGTAAAGTTTCGCATTTCGAATTATTTAAAGTTCTTGATCCATTGGATGACAGAATTGCATCTAAGGGAAAGCTACCTCCTCATAAACGGTATTGAATTATAATGTTTTAAATTAAATGTCGCCGTTGATGTTAAAATTGGCTGATGCTGAAATTTAGGCCTATTTTATGAGGTCTAAAATTTTTGAGGCTAGGATTTAGAGTTGAAGTTTTTAATAAAAAGTATTTAATAGGATCTATATTTTCAAGCAGAAACCTCAAATTTAACATTAGCCAATTTCAGTATTATCTGGGATATAAATTATTAATTATGATGTCTTAATTTACTCTGATACATCAACTATTAGGCCGTTTGTTGATTCTGCACCGATTCCTCTACTTGAAAAATCTATACAGGAAACTGTTAAATTTCCGGATGAAGATGAGAGTATGGGTCAAGTTGTAATTGCTTGGCTTGGTCCCACGATTAATGTGAATATTTTGAATGAAGAATTATCGTTCATGACATTTGTGTTTTTACAAGCTAATATTCATTTCATGAATTTAGGAATTTTTGGATATTAGAGCATTGGAAATTTTATATGAGCAAGTATTTAATATTTTATTATAATTGCTTGTTGAATTTTTTGTGCCAAATAATGCAAGATTAAATTGTGAATGAATTAAATATGATTATTAAATTCCATAACTATTAATTATTTTTAGTTACCTGTCAGATACTCCAGTTTCCGTGTTACAAAAAGAATTTGTTGAAATTGAAGAGCCTTTATGCACAGGTAATATTAAATACCACATTTCGCTTGTTTAATAATATTTAAATATCATAAATTTTGATAATTTCATTTTGATAATTAGACATTGATTTCTCTATCAATGAGCAAACTCGGACAGCAATTTTGGCAACCTTTGAAAATGTTCCAACAGAAGAATTGGAAGATCTTGTTACTGGTTTATTTGATGTATTTAAAAGAATTGTTAATGAAGGAATTGATATGGAACGTATGAAAAATGTAATTCATCGTGATAGACTAAAGGTTCGTATATATTTAAATATTTATATGAACTTCAAAATGCGATCTTCATTATATTAATTTTATAATATAACAGACTTTAAATGAAATTGAAGTAAATCCGCATAATGTATTTTCTGGACTTTGTATTGTAGGTATGTTATCTTTCATTTTACGCGTCAGCATTCTTTATACTTTAGGAAACAATGTCTCCATGTACAGTGTAATTAGGCATTAACTAATTTCTCTAAAATTTAGACCATGTGTATGGCAAAGAAACTGGTGAAGACCTTGAAAGGGGTGTTAAAGATCTGGGTTATTATGAACAAATTGCAAATTTTTCTGAGAAGCAGTGGATCGAATATTTGAAAAAGTTAGTATGAGATAAAGTTATTATGTTAGTCTTTAATTATTGCAGTTCGCATATTTTTGTGAATTTTGGTCATCAAAAAAAAAAAAAAAAAAATCATTTGATTGTTAGACGAATTCTGATTTCTTTTTTTTTGACCTGCAAAACTTACAGAATTTTGCAAACCACAATAATATAATAATTAATATATAGTAACTAATTTATATAATACATCTATCTATCTTAATATATTGATAGGTATCATATTGACAATCCTCACATCGCGTTATTGGGATGTCCGTCTGCAGAATTCTCAAAGAAACTTATAGACGATGAACTTAAACGCGTTGAAAAACAACGTGAAACGCTAGGTCCCGAAAAATTAAAGGATTTAGAAAAACAATTAGAAAAAGCAAAAGAATCAAATAATGTGCCCATTCCGCCTCAAATTATTGGTAAAATTATTATTTGTATAAAAAAAATCTCCCATAAACTACGAAATTGACAATATACATTTTTTTTTATTTTTTGTTTTTTTATTTTTTTAGAAGGTTTTCCAGTTCCAAGTATTGAAAGTATAACATTTATAAACGTTATTACCGGTCGAAATAAATCAGAAGGAAAATAGTGAGTCATAATTTTGTAAATTATTCAATTGCTTATTATAATTATTGTTTATTCGATTGTTCTCATATTGTTTTGTATACAGCAAAAATATCGTTCAAGGTTATCTTGATAGTGACAATTCGACAGACATCCCATACTTTATTCAATTTGATCGTATCCTTTTAGATAATTGCAAAAAAAAAACATTATATTTATTATGCTATAAATCATGTTTCATTTTATTAATATAATTAACTCACTATTGACTTTAGATATTCCTTCTGCATTCGTAAATATTTCTATCTATATCACCACAGAGCCTATTCCCGTCCACCTTCGCCCATACCTGGAAATTTATCTCGAAACATTTTATAGTTTGCCGTTGAATAGACCCAATGGTGAACATTTAACATTTGAACAAATGGTTAATGAATTGAACACAGACACCATTAGCTATGAAGATAATTGGGGAATTAAAGGATTTGAAGGAATGATTTGTTTTTCTCTCAAAGTTGAAGTAGGTTAAAAAATTTGTTAATAATATCTGAACCTTTCGAGTGTTCGTAGATAATTAGTTTCCTCTTAACAGATCATTTATTTGATTGGAAATTAACTACTAGGCTTCTAAATATGCAACTGGGATTCGATGGTTACGTGATTTATTGTGGAATACGGAATTTACTGCCGAAAGGTGATTTCAAAAAATACTTTCTACGATAATTATTTGCTTATTTGGCTAATTATTAATATATATATATATATGCCATTTTTCAGGCTTAAAATTTGTGCTTCAAAACTACTAAATGATATTCCGCAAACTAAACGCGAGGGATATGAAGTAAGTTCCTGATATTTTTTGCACCAAATACTATTTACAACTGTTGAATTTTAACATAAATTTCTTTCAACCATTTAAAAATGAAATAAAATAAAGATGTCATTAAATGTGCTACAAACAATCCATTATGATCGCTTACGTTCAAATAAGTACGTTTTAGGCGTTTTGAACCAAGAAAAAGTTTTACCCGAAACCATTAAATTATTAGAAGAAAATCCAAGTAAAGCTATTGAAATGTTTACAAAGCTTAAAGAGATTTGTATGTATTATGTTGTTTGAGTTTTTGATTCTTATTAAATATTTATGAACTCGATCAATTTTATTTCCATTATTTATATAGTGATTTCCCCAGAAAATTTTAGAATTCATGTGAGTGGAGATATTGTGAAATTGCCAAATCCTAAAAGCGCATGGGCAGAAAATTTTAAAAATATCACGGTAAGTAGATCATACACTTTAACCAACCATGTTAATTTAACACCATATTTATGTCTTAAATATTGTTATTTGTTTACGTACCCTTTTAGGATACAAAACCTTTATCACCAATTCCCTCACCCCAAAATGTCTTGACTGAATCGGGACATAATCCTGGCAACAAGGCACGTTTTCCTTATATCATGTTTACGTTCTTATTAAAAAGTCAAATTGACATTACGATAATCCTTCTGTATTTACTTTAGGGATATATTATTAAGCTTCCTGCTATTGAAAATACTTTTGCTACTCATGCAGCGAAAGGTGATCTAACATTTATTATTATCGCTCTTTTCAATTTACTGTGATCATCAAATTTCGTAGATCACACATCACTGAGAATCTGGAAATCTGGAAATCTGAAATTTGATATTCATATTACAAACTTTTTTAAACTTTGAGCGAAGATATCTCGGCAACCACCAGGCAAAATTTAACGAAATTTTTTTTATTTGAATTTTACTTATTCGTGGAATTCAAATAAAAAAAAGGTCATTAAATTTGGCCTGATGGTTGTCAAGAAACCTTCGCTCAAAATTAAAAAATTTCAATGTAATTTTTCTCGAACTTTGAACAAAGATTTCTTGACAACCACCAGGCCAAATTTAATAACCTTTTTTTTATTTGAATTCCTCGAATAAGTAGAATTCAAATAAAAAAAAAATCATCAAAATTTGATTGATAGTTGTCGAGATATATTCGTTCAAAGTTTGTGAAAATTTTCTATTTGATAGACTTGAGTTTTTTAAAACAGTCAAATTTGATGATTTTTTTTATTTGAATTTTAGGGAGACATAGAATTCAAAATAAAAAAATTATTAAATTTGGTTTGGTATTTTATGAGATATCTTCACTCAAATTATGAGCGCAGCTTCCGTTTTGATGGACGGTTTGAGTTTTTTGAGCGAAGATTTCTTGACAAATACCAAGCCAAATTCAATTATTTTTTTATTTGAATTCTACAGATCTGTAAAATTCAAATAAAAAAATCCACCGAATCTGACTAAGTGGTTGATCTAACTAAGGTTGTCGAGATATCTTTGCTCAAAGTTTGAGAAAATTTTATTTGATAGACGTTGAATTTTTTTAAAACTCTGAGCGAAGATATCTCGACAACCACCAAGCCAAATTTGCTGGTTTTTTTTTTTGTTTTTTTTTTTGAATTCTACATGTTCGTAGAATTCAAATAAAAAAATGGGTATTGAATTTAGTTTAATATTTTATGAGATATCTTTATTCAAAGTTGAGAAAATCTATCGTTTTTGATAAACGTTGAATTTTTAAAACTTTGAGTGAAAGTTAAATGTGATAACTTGTTTTATTTGAATCCTACATATTCATAGAATTCAAAAAAAAAAACTTCCTTGAATTTGACTTGGTGGTTGTTGAGATATCTTCGTTAAAGTTTGAGAAAAATTTGACGCAACTTTTATTTGAGAATTTTTTAAAACTTTGGAAGAAAATATCTCAACATCCATCAAGCCAAATTTAATAAACTTTTCTTTATTTGAATTCTATTTGTTTATAGAATTTAAATAAGAAAAATTTATAAAATTTGACTTGGTGGTTGTCAAGATATCTTCGTTCAAAGGTTATAAAAAAAAATTAAGAAATATGATGCAAGAAAAGGCTTGAAATTTTCTATATTATTTAGCTGCACGAACAAATAGCTCTTGTATATTACTTGATAAAGCATTGAAAAAGTGAAAATAGAAGAGGAACTTTGGGAATTTTTATTTGTTAGCAAGAAATTTAAAATTTGAAGATTTCCATGTGATCGTCAATAATTTGATGATCACAGTAAATTGAAAAGAACGATAAGCTGACGTCGACTGAAATATTCTTTTTGCTTATAATTTTATATTTTATATTTAAGGTCCAACTACTTTTGATTCGCCAGACCTTGCACCATTACTTGTACTATGTGAGGTTTTACACACAATGGAAGGTTTATTCTGGAGAGCAATTCGTGGTCAGGGATTAGCTTATGGTGTTTTTCTTAAAGTTAATGTGGAATCAGGTTTGTCATCTTTATAAATTTAATTGCTGCGTCTGCTTTCAACAAATTATTTGACTTTGTATTATTTATTATTTTTAAGGTCATATTTATTTTTGCACATACAGGTCACCTGATGCATATAAAGTTTATGATCAAGCTAGGAAAATTATAAATGATTTGGCTTCTAAAAAGGTTCTTTTTTTTATTTTTGTTTCTAAATGGATGCTGTGATAACGTTATGTATAATATTTACAGATTATTCTATTATTTAATATTTGAATTATATATAGACTGAATTTGATAAATCTGAATTAGAAGGTGCAAAAAGTGGTGTCATTTATGGTCTTGTCAGCAAAGAGGTAATAAAAAATTTAATCATTTATTACTTTCGTTATTACCAGTTATATTTTGGACTAACTATTTAATTAACAATTTGGAAATGCCAAACCACACAGGAAAATATTCAAAAAGCGGTACATAAAATTTAAATAAGTGCTTCGATTATGATTATAATACTGATTAATCTAATCTAATAATTAATAAATTATTATCAATCTTGCATTCTTTATTCTTTAAATACTATTATAAAATATGAAGGCTACAGAATCATTTGTTTCGCAAGTTTTAAATAATTTGGAATCTGGTTTTAATAAAAAATTAATTTCAAGGGTTCAGGTACGCGTATTACCCTTTCTGATTATTATTTAATAGATATAAATATATACGTAAATAAAAGTTTATTCTATATTTACTCTTAATCTTTTTCTGCTGCTTCAAATAAAAAATTTAGGCTGTGAAATTTGAAGATCTTCACGCTATGTTGGTGAAATATATAACAAAATTATTTATGCCTGAAACTTCGAATGTTGTCGTTATTTCAGCTCCTGGTAAAGTTAAGGTAACTATTCTATATTGTTTATTTGTTCCTGTCTAGTCATAAAGAGACTATTTTTTATTTTTTTATTTTTTTTGGCAAAACAAATAACATAAATTATTAACACATTATTAATACTTTTTATAATAGGATGTACAAGAAGGATTTAATACTCATGGATTTAAGTTGGAAGTTAAAAGCTTAGATAAAGTTATTAAATAAATTATCACTAAGTATTTATTGGACGGATTGAAATGAAATCAAATTAAAATGAAAGATTTTTCCTATTTAATTTGAAATTTATAGGTTTTAGAATAAAGATTATTAATAAAGTGTGTATGTGGACTTAGAGACTTAAAAGAGCCTGATTTCATTTTAATTTGATTATATTATGATTTGCGATATTCATTATTCATTATTTATAAAAATATTACTTTGAAATCACCTGTGTATAGGATTATTGATACATATATTCTATCTTACATAACAAATTCAAAATCAGTCTTATTTGTTGTATTCAAATCATCGATCTTATAGATCGAGAAACAGTAATTTTAAAGGCCATAAAGAAACATTGTCATTTAGAAACAAATAACTAGTGGTCAGATTACAGTTAATTCTAGATAAAGTTGTGTTTGACACGATCTTGAAAATTACAGAAACTAAAAATCTTTAAAAACCTTACTCAAATTGCAAGCATAATAAAATTGTTCTAAATCTAATTTTTGAGTGCCGCATATCGTTAATTAATCCTAGGTCATAAGTCGGTGACCGTAGTGAACCTTTAAATTTTCGAAAAACATTAATTAAGTTATCCGGGCAATTGATTTACATAAACTTCTGACTATGAAATGATTACGTATTGCGTTATACCGTTCACGCGTCAAGACGTATAGCTATAGCAGTATATTCCAATAACTCGTTAATGGGCCGCTACAACTACTGTATATTGTAGCAGCATTAAATATGATAATAGCATTTGTTATCATAGCAGTACTTTGGATACTAGATGAGTTTCACTACTACCACCACCGGTTCTACTCTTGCCGCCACCGATACTGCCATCGGAAATAAAACTTTTATGGACACAAAGAAGCAATACCACCGGATATTCTTTCTCGGAGAACTGGCACACATGTGACCGGTAACTGTCCGGCCAAAAACCGCCTTGGTCTGCCTCGGTTGCTGCTACCACTAGGGTGGGGGGCACGGAAAAATATTTGGGCATGCCCTTAATATATTAATCATATGAAATTTCTACTTTATTATGTATTACTAAAAGTAATTATTAGTATATGAAATTAGAACATTAATAAAATAGATGTAAATCATAATGAATTAATTATACATACGTAGCAATAAATTTGGTACGTATAATAAAGCTCAATAGCCTTAAATATTTAGTATTATTAAATCAAAAATTTTGTATAAGAAAAGCCGAACTATATTTATTATAATAGCCAATCAGAGAGTATGGTATCACATAATATAGGCATACCTTCTAGCTCCAGGGGGCATGCCCATGGACCCCATGGACCCCATTCCCACCACCCTAGCTACCACAGCCACCACTAGAAAAAAACCCTATTAAAAATTGGGTTGTTCTTGATCTGCTAAATGGCGCTTTATTATGAATTCCGCTGGATTTTCGCAGGTATTGCTTTCGGTGTTGGAAATTTTCCTATTTTTCGTTTAGAAATTAGTTTTTAGATACACTTTCGAAGTGGATCATTCTCAATTTATTAATTAAATGCAATCGTATTTCCACAAAACCTAAAATTCGGGCTCTGCGCTTTTTGTCGATTTTTTGATCTGTATCGTAAAAACGATAAAATTTATAAAAAAAAAGCTGCAAGAAATATATAGTAATATAAAGGTATGGAAATCATGATACTACGGTATGTGCGATTTGAAAAAAAATTCTTCTGTTCTTGTCTAACCGATTAAAAAGCTATTAATAAAAATTGAATTTATGAGTCTAGGTTTAATCGTACGTACAGTACATCAAAATTTTCGGACGTCTGTAAATTCAACGTTTATCACGTTTATCGTTGGTTTCAAATGCTTTATTGTTTTCACATCTTTCACTGAAGAAATTTTTGATTATATTAATCAAAAAAGAAGATATGTATATTGCTGTTTTGCTATTTTACAGGATGTTTACAGTAAATACAGAAATACCGATATGGATCTTAATACCCTTAAATTAAAAACAGGTGATTTGGATAAACAGCATTGCAATTCATCAAGCTGGGAGCAAATGAAATATAGAACCGTTAAGTACTAATGAATTTCCAGATCTTGGCATAATTACAACATCTTATACAGTATTTTCAACAGCCCAGCCAGTTTTGACCCGGTAAAATTTTTATATTTGGACGTCCATGAATAAATGTCCAATCGAAGCCATTGAACGTGAACAAATGTCCATTAGCTGGTTGACAAGGGTTCTGATTAGTTAAAAATAGAGACGTTAATTTGCTAGTGCTAACAAGAACACGATAAGTGGATGTGACGAACGTAGTGAAGCGGAGTGTATTGTACAGTTAATTGAAAACAGAACATAATGCCTAAATTTGAATAAATACAAACTTCAATTTAACTTATTAAAACTTTAATCAGAAACGGAGATAGTTTCTCCAAAATGACGATGATATTGTCAGCTCAATCATATCAACGAATTTAAATTTAATAATGTACACTATGAGAGTTCTTAATAATTCAAAACAAATATATCACATGCTACTTTGCATCGTTCATTATTTAAAGTATGAGCGCAATAAAAAAATTGGGGGTTTTTTTTAATTCAAATATCTATCGGCATTTAAAGAGGCAAAACTTCGTGTTATTATAGCGAGTTAATTATCATCATTAATTAATAATAATAAAAATTTCTCTTATACTACCGTACTGTAGTCATTGAATTTTTAGTTTCACATGACTTGCATAATACGTATTTAGTATAATAAAAAAATTTTTCTTTTCACACTTCAAAGCAAATCATAAGGTAAGTTTATTCAACTCTTTTTCTTTAAAAAAATTTCAGTCTGGAATTGTTCTATCTTAAATAAAGTTCTGCACTTTAAATGTATGGGAATTTTTCATAGCCTAATAATGTAGTTTCCTAATTTAAGCTTGATTCCGAATGGTGTAAACATACGTATAATGTTATTAAATAATATAAAATTAGAAATAACAATGCTATATTTATTATTTTAAAAACTAGACAATAAATTATTATAATAGGGGTCTTTTTGACACAACCTTTTGCCATTAAGGCGAGACCAATTTAATTCAGTGGTTTACGTTACATTCCTTTCTCAAAAGAGGGTGGAATCCCTTTTATTGTTTTCTCTTCGGAAAGTTTCGGAACCCTGAGATTCTATTTACTCACCATTAAGTTCTCCGGCCAAATTTATCAAATTATGCATGTATCTCAAAAATATTTACTAACACGTAGAAAGAAATGAAGATGGGGCTTAATTTTAGTCAGCCGTTACTTTAGATAGCAACAGTACCCGATATCTCTGAATCTCTGATTCCCGTGATAATGATATAATAACCCTGATCAATCGCAAGATCACGTGAGTCACTCGAATCATATTTTCGTTCACCTTTGCCGTTTTCAAATCATAATATATCTCGTCATTTATTTGTACCCCTTTTACTAAGTGCAAGGACTTTTCAGAAACTACACAACACATAGTAAGGTTTGTAACCATAACTCATGATAGAAACTATAAGAATTTCAACATGAACTACGTAATTCGACCCTAACTATATTATTAGAATAGCAAGCAAACTTTGTATGAGAATTTTTAAAATAATTCATGATAGAAATCAAAATAATTTTGATGCAAACTCAACCTTAAAATGTATTATGTCTCGAGTAGGTTTGTAACAAAAATTTTTTTATAGAAACTATGATAAAAATCATGATAATTTCAACTCTCTTTTTATTTTTACTGAAATGACACACAAGCCTTGTATTTTATATATTCAATAACTTAAGTACAGTACTCTATCAATAGATCCATTTGATTGGTTTGTCTCATCAAATGACCAATCAGATTCATTGTCAAATTTATTAAGTGATTTCTATAAGTAAGAGGGGGTAATGTAAACCACCAAATTAAATTGATCTGGCCTAATGTTTATCTAATTTACTTTACAATACTTTTAGCTACAACCACGGCTTGAACCTTACTCTTGGGCTCAAACCAGAACAATGCAACTACAACAATCCTCAATATGTTTGGGATGTTGAACACAATAACTACAACTGTTCTCAGTATATTAGAAGAGTTGAAAAACCACAGCAGTCCTCAGTCTGTCGATAATCAACCAGAAAACAATCTTTTTCAGAGTTACATGAGCAGGACAAGTATTGTGCAAAGATCTTTTACTATGCCACTTAGTGATTGATCAGGATAAAAGTATTTAGTATAGAGGTTATTTATTTAGATACTTAAGAGCTGTGTTGGGTTAATTGGGTAATTTTTATTAGAATTCGATAATTGTAAGCAAACAGAACTTATTGTTTTTAGGGTCTTCATAGCCTTTATTTATAATCAAATATTTGGGATTACAATTAGTGGCATAAATGCCATAAATTCCATAAATGTAATAAATGTAATAAGTGTAATAAATTTCATAAAAGTAATAAATACAATAAATTCCATAAATTGCACTTATCCTGTGATTTTAAATTATGCTTAAGCCGTAGCAATTGGGTCAGTTTCTGGGGCTCACACCTGGCACAGATTTCAGAAGTGTTTAAAAGTCGATCAAGATGTCACATCTAATTTTTTATCATATGATTTTCATAAATTACACAAATCGATAAAATCATATTTTTAAAATTTTCTTCCCAAGTCTTAGTCACAACACATAACATCCTTGACAAATAGGTTGCCAGAGTTTAAATGAAGCAAACAATATGAAAGATATAAAAAACCAACGTTACCAGGTAATGTGAGACTCCTTCGAAGATAGGCAATTGTTTTGCCTTCTTTCACAAGATTCTTTTGAAGTTTTCAAGATCTTGACATAAAAATTAGCTTGTTAGATGTGCATGAGTGAGAACTTTCTGTGAAATGCATCTTTGAAAGAAGGGTATCTTATAAAAGTATAGAGTAAATTAAGAAAAACTATTTTGCAGTATATAGATTGCAATTTTGCTAATAAGTTTTTTTTTTAATATATAGGAATCTATATTCACA